GATTTATATAATAAAAGTTAAAATAATATTACAAATGAATTGTACTGTATGTCTCTATGTGCAAATATTTTCCAGCTAAGGAAAATAATGTCCAACACATGCTCATGTCTTGCTCACCTCCAGCTGTGCACCGGACTTGTCACTCAATCTTTCCTCAACAAGAAACAGCTTTTCAGCAGAAGTACTTGGCTTGTTTGTCGCATGGTTTGTCACATTAAAGTCACTGACAGTCTGGCTTTCAACATTTGCACACATAGCAATCTTCCTGATGGACCTGGAAGAAGCTGTTGGGGACACAGAGTCCCTGTCATCTTCCTCTTTAATATTATCTGAAAGTCCTTCCACAGGTGTAGATGTGGACAATCTCTCCTCATGGAAAGGAGAATTGTCATTGCTAGAGTTGTTTCTTAGTTCACAGCAGTCCAGAACTGGCACAGGAAGGATGTTGCCCACATAATCCAGACATTTGTTTTCGGAGGGGACAGATAACTTGGTCCCAATAGTAAAAGGTTGGATCCTCTTCATTGCTGTTCTTGCTTTAATCATCTGATTGAGGAACAAATAACCATAAAACAATAAAACATCATTCTCATTGTTTAAAAGAATCCTTCTTCTGGTAACTCCAAGTCTGAAGTCAACCAAGTCAGTCAACAAAGCTAAAATGGTCCACTCTGAAGTCGTCTGAGACACTGCAGAGAGACTTTTGAGATGCAGACTGCAGGAACTGTGGAGAACGTGACTCCAGCCTCACTCCCGCACAGACTATGAGAAAGCGAGAGGGGGTGAGGGAGGAGAGGAGTAAGAGAGAGTTTAGTAGAAGCAGGGTGAGGTCATCACACTCAGTCACGGCCCCGTTTGGAGGGAGAGAGGGCTGTAAACCCAAGCTGTAAAAGCTTCCTCCCAAAATAAGACGTTGTGGGCAGATAAGAATCAGAAACACAAAGTCGAGCCCTCTCTAAGGCCTTGCTTCTCGACAATGTTGTCATATATTTTTCCTCAGCTGTTCCGTTTTTTTCTCATGCAGTGTTTTTGTCAGATTTCATGCAGCATGCATACAATTCACAGATCCATTTATGTTACAGAATTTGGTTCATCTAAACATACATGTGCTCGGATGCTTCCTGCAACAAAATAAACAGATAAATACTTCTAGGTGAGTAGATGCAGGAGGCTGTAAGTGGTTTAGACAATGGTAACCTCATACTATTGTCTAAATGTTTACAGAGCAGCAACAGGGGAAAACATTGCACATTCTGGCTGTGGCCCTCCTCTGATTTAAACCAGGTGTTTGGTGCAGTGTGTTGGAATAAGCTACTGTACAGCACTTGTCTGTAAGCATCGGTTTTATCTCAAAATCCTGATAGTCCCGACACTTAAAGTATTTATTTTGTTATTTGTATGAAGTTTAATTTAACAGACTTAAACGTTCATAAAACATTCTTGTGGCAGTAAGCCACGGGAAACCATTTATTATCTACAATGATATAATATAAAATATGTTTATGATTGCCAAGTAATGTAGCAACTTAAAGGGGTTGTTTCCCAATGTATTATTTTTTTCAAGTTTTAGTGTAAGTCTATCATGCAAATAAAATAAATTAATAAATTCATTAATAAAAAAAATAAAAGGGGAAATTTAACAGCAACATGTCAAAAAATGGCAAAAAAACAACAAAACAAAACAAAACATAATGACATACTAGAAACCAACACTATACAAGACAGGCTAATAGGGTTATGTTAATGCTTGTATAGACCTAAAATGAATTGTACTAATTCTACATTGTTGTACAGAGAACAGAGATTCCTCACAAAGCCTTTGAGTGAAAATCTATGCAGCAACATGATCTTGGATTCCTTTCGATGTGGCTCATCCTTTAGCTTGTCTTTTCATGAAGAGACTAAAGTGTGAACAAAGACTTTAGTCACAGGGGCTCCCTGCAAATCTTTTTTCTTTGGGCTCATGCTGGACTGCCTTTTAGGCTTCTCTTGGGATTTCCTCTTACAATATAAAGTAAAAGTTGCATGATTAATTATGGAGGGATAACCACAGGGGGAGTCATTCTGTAGGGAATATGAAATTGAATATTTTGATTGGTAAATCCTTTGATTGTACAATAATCTGACATTTGAGATGATGATGAATGACTTCTAATGGTCTAACTAGAGGCACTTATGACGTAATGCTTTAAACGTCTGTTCAAGAAAATGTTCGAGATCAGAGTCAGTTCTTCAACTTCTATCATGATAAGCCCTTTAATTAGATGTATAGATTCTCATTTGGATTTTAAAAAGAAAAAAAAAATCGGTTTAACATGAAGTACTAATAAAGTGCAATAAAAATACATCCTGACACGCATTGTTTTAAAAAACCTTTTTGTCCACTGTTAATTGATTTTGAAGAGTTTTTGAAGATTCTTCCAGATCTGGGGAATGTTAGCTATTTGTTATGGGAGTCAGACAGGAGATAGATGGGGGGTACGTGACTCTTGCAAACCCATGAAAAGGGAGGGGAAGGAAAAAGGAGTGCAGGAGAATGAAGTAGATAAACGGTGAGGTCATCATGATCCCAGCCACAGACAGATGAGGCAGTAAACCACAGCTGTAAAAGCTTCCTCCCTTAATAAGAATACATAACATTGTGTCTTTGTGAGCAGGATACTGACTGAAGAAATGTGGGGGGGAGTCCCAGAAAAAGTTTATCAAAAATGTTTCATATCGTTTAGACACTAACAGTTTACAAGTGGCAATTCAAGTCATAGTTACAATAACTGAGGACATTGTTGTCAAGAGACACTGTTGTCTCCTTAATAAACAGGTACACTTAAAAAAATAACTTTACTAGGGGTAGAAATGCTTGTTGTTACGGAAGCAATAATATAATATAATATAATATAATATAAGATTAGATTAGATTCAACTTTATTGTCATTGCACATGTAAGGTACAATGCAACGAAATGCAGTTAGCATCTAACCAGAAGTGCAATAAGCAGTAAGTACAGGATATACAGTGTCTCCAATATGTTACAAATGTACAATAAATATACAGATAAGGCAGTACTATGGACATAATTTACAGATTTTTAAATACTATCAGCATGATATACAGATAGGTGTACTATGAACATACTATACAGATGGATTATGTAATAAGTGTATGTACACTATAAGCAGAAACTATGAACATATGGACATCATTTACAAATTAATATGTATAAGCTGTGCAAAACTCTAGTGCAATGGACATTAAAAAAAAGTGCATAGAAAATATTCCAGTGTGCAAATGGATCATTCAGTATTCTGGATGTACAGACAGTAGTGCAAGTAATAACAAGTGTAACAATTTTTTTTAAACCAGGTGTGGTGAGGAGTGTGTAGTGGTGTGTGTGTGTGTGTGTGGGGGGGGGGGTGTCAGCGGGCAGAATTCAGTAAGGAGACAGCTGTAGGGAAAAAGCTGTTCCTAAGTCTGCTGGTCCTTGTCTGGAGGCTCCTGAAGCGCCTCCCGGAGGGCAGGAGGTTAAACAGTCTATGGTCAGGGTGAAAGGAGTCCTTAAGAATGCTGCAAGCTCGACGTGGACAGCGTTTCCTCTGGATGTCCTCAATAGCAGGAAGTGGTGTCCCTGTGATGCGTTGGGCGGTTTTCACCACCCTCTGCAGTGCCTTGCGGTCAGCAACTAAGCAGTTCCCATACCAGACTGTGATACAACTGGAAAGAATGTTCTCGATCGCACACCGGTAGAAGTTCACCAGGATGGCTGAAGACAACTGGTTCTTCTTCAGTGTCCTAAGGAAGAAGAGGCGCTGGTGAGCCTTCTTGACCAGGCTGTCGGTGTTTGTGGTCCAGGACAGGTCCTCCGAGATGTGGGTTCCCAGGAACTTGAAGCTGGAGACACGTTCAACAACTGTCCCGTTAATGTGGATGGGGTCATGCGTGCTTCTTCTTCTTCCTGAAGTCCACAATAAGCTCCTTTGTCTTACTGGTGTTAAGGAGCAGGTTGTTGTCAGCGCACCATGCGGCCAGGTGCTGTACCTCCTCCCTGTAGGCAGTCTCATCGTTGTCTCTGATGAGGCCAATCACCGTGGTGTCATCTGCAAACTTGATGATGGAGTTGGATCCATGCACAGGCCTGCAGTCGTGGGTGTAGAGGGAGTAGAGGAATGGGCTCAGCACACAGCCCTGTGGTACGCCGGTGTTGAGTGTGATGGTGGTGGAGCAGGTGTGGCCTGACCTAACATGCTGAGGCCTGTTGGTCAGAAATTCCATAATCCAGTTGCAGAGTGAGGTGTTAATGCCCAGGTCTCCAAGTTTAGTGGTCAGCTTGGAGGGAATGACAGTGTTAAATGCTGAGCTGAAGTCAACAAACAACATCCGTACATATGTGTTGTTATTGTCCAAGTGTGTGAGTATCGAGTGCAGCACTGTGCATACTGCATCCTTTGTGCTCCTATTGCTATGGTAGGCAAATTGGTGTGGGTCCAGTGTGGATGTGAGGCAGTTCTTAAGGTGAGCTAGGACCAGTCGCTCAAAGCACTTCATAACAATAGGTGTGAGTGCTGCGGGGCGGTAGTCATTCAGGCACGTCGGGGAGGAGTGTTTCGGCACTGGCACAATGGATGTGGACTTAAAGCATGTTGGCACAGTTGCTTGGGTGAGGGACAGGTTGAAAATGTCTGTGAAGACCCCTGCGAGCTGCTCTGCACATGCCCTAAGCACACGTCCAGGAATGCCGTCGGGGCCAGCAGCCTTGCGTGCGTTGATCCAGCTCAATGCGGTGTAGACATCTGTGGAGGTGAGTTTGAGGGGTTGGTGGTCTGCTGAGAGTGTGATATTGGTGGCCGTCTCCTTGCTGTCACTGTCGAAGCGAGCATAAAAGTCATTCAGCTCGTTAAGGAAAGAGACGTCTGTGACCGTTGGAGTGGAGTTGCTTGGCTTGTAGTCACTGATGACCTGGATGCCCTGCCACATGCGTCGGGGGTCAGAGTTGGAAAAGTGTTCCTCTACCTATATATATATTTTTTTTTATATAGTTATTTTCCATTATTTTACCCATTTCAAGCTGTCTGAGACAATAAAGAATACAAAATGAACAAATATATATAAAAAAATGATTGGAACACATTTTTACAAAAATGACGCTAAAATTAATGCTAAATTGAATTGCGCTAAAAATGTGAAGTGACGTAAGAAGTTCTAAAATACTTTGCTTACACCCTGAAACTTTATAATTATTTCCCCCTATAATATTTTTCATCAAAGTAGAAAATATTTTTCCCAAATATCATGAATTTTATGAATTTCTTTATCTTTTTTCATAGGTCGTCTTGAGTTTATAAATGGTGGCTGGTGCATGAGTGACGAGGCCACCACGCACTACAGCGCAGTCATAGATCAGATGACTCTGGGGCTGCGATTCCTGAATGACACCTTCGGTGAATGCGGTCGACCCCGGGTGGCCTGGCACATCGACCCGTTTGGACACGCCCGAGAACACGCCTCCATCTTTGCTCAGGTAGCCATGGCACATTATTTGTGACTGGTGTGAATGGTGTGGCATAGTGATGCTGATGACTCTTGATTTGTTTACAGATGGGCTATGATGGTTTCTTCTTTGGCCGTTTGGATTATCAGGACAAAGCTCGCAGAATGAAGACCAAAGAGATGGAAATGCTCTGGAGGGCCAGTGAAAGCCTGATGCCGCCTCTCGCTGATCTCTTCACGGGTACTAATCTGTAAACGTGTGGCTTTTTGCTGTCTGATAATTCAGATTCAGTTTTTCAAATTCTCCCATAGTGCAGGATCAACACTTACTGTTCTTTGATGAGTTGTAGATACTCTCCTGTTGTATATTATATTTAAAAACCATTCAAAGTCAGTCAGTAAGATTAAATTGATCTTGCAGACTTCAAACTTTATATATTTTAGCCATATCCTTATATCTTTCATCTCTAAAGGTGTTCTTCCGAATGGCTATAACCCACCTGAGGGCTTCTGCTGGGACCAGTCATGTAATGATGCTCCCATAAGAGACGACCCAGACCTTGAGGACTACAACGTGGATGAGATAGTGCAGAGGTTTTTGAATGTTTCCTATAACCAGGTATTTCAACAGCATTGCAGCAGTACTCAGTTCAGTCAATCATATATAAAGCTCATGTGAGATTTCTGTTCCCAGGCTGCCTTTTATAAGACAAACCACATCATATCGATGGTTTTATTCTTACATTTTATTTAAGGACGTTTATTTTGTAGATATTTAAGGACTTTGTAGCTATATGAAGACTTTTATTTTGTTTATTCGTAAACTACGGGAGGAGAAGTCACGTGACATAACAAAAATTCGGCTGTCATATGATTGCAGTTTCATTTTCATCATGGCTGCGCTCTACATCAGTTTTCTGTTCCAGCTGCTCTTCTGTCTTGTGTTTTCTTTACCTACGGGACGAAACTCCATATGCGGTTATACGGTGAGTTTTGTTTTAATGTGTGAATATTTTGAAGTTCTTCGTTGTAGGACCTTTGAGAAAGGTTTGACTAAATGTAAAAAAAATTAACACTGAGGGAAATAATATACAATAACAAAAACTTACCAAAAGTACCTTGGTATTAATACTATTAATCATTTTTGCACTTGATGTCACTACATTACCATAGTGTTTTATAGCATGTTTTTGTACATGTACCAAAGTAGATGTTAAATGTAACTCTCTGCAACAATGCATGTTGTGTTGTAAAGCAGTGAAGTCAGTGCTGTACAGTGAGCAGATATTAGCTGTTTTTATATGATGAAATAATGAACTGTCCTGATTACATCCAAAGAGAATGACTAAATGTAAAAGTAAGTAAAAAGGAAATGATTGTAGAATGAGGAAGTAAAACTCATTATCGTTGTATCTCTCCACTGATATGGATCTCTGTAGTCATGTCCAGCCACAAATCCTTCCATGCTGAATGTCCATCTGGTTCCTCACACACATGATGATGTTGGCTGGCTCAAGACTGTGGATCAGTACTACTATGGAGGTGAAGCTTTGTTTATGTCTGACTTGAAAGTGTTTGTTTGTAGCTTTCATTGGTATGTACAGTAGTAGATCACATTTTTCATGTGACTGTCGTATGATTTATGTCTTGCTTGTCATATGATAGTGGCGATGCATTGGAGTGTTAAAACTTAATGTTATAATAGGGGCACTTTAAGCTATCCTTTGATACTAGCATAAAAGGGATCTCTTTCAAGTGTTACTTGTGATTTTCTTTTTTTTTCTTTTTTTTTCCCTGTCCTGGACATTCGTCTTAGGCCTCTGAAGACAGATGATTTTTTCCCCTATGCTGATGATGCTCATGATTTCTGGACAGGTTATTTTACCAGCCGACCAGCATTGAAGTTATACGAGAGACTGAGCAACAGCCGACTACAGGTAATGCACAAAAAAAAAAAAATCACATCTACAGTGTTTATTTATTTATTTTTGGGGGGTAATCTGTATTGTCTGGTTTTGATCTTCTAGACATGCAACCAACTGGAGGTGCTTAGTGGGCCCAAGTCCACATCTGGACCCTTTGGTGAAGGGGACAGTGATACTATGAGTAAGTCTACGTCTGTTGTAAATGTATCACTTCTGTTGGCTTTAATAGATTGGTCTGTTTGACGTCTTTTCTTGTCGCTCAGAGAGGGCGATGGGTGTAGCCCAACATCACGATGCTGTGTCTGGGACAGAAAAACAGCATGTGGCATATGACTATGCCAGGAGACTGGCTACAGGCTGGGCACATTGTGAGGTACAAAAACATAAACTGTCATTTTTTCTGCATTTTTCTCTGTCACATTGTTTCAGGGTAAACTTTGCTTTAATTGTAATTAAATTTTCATTTTGGCTGGCTCAAGACTGTGGATCAGTACTACTATGGAGGTGAAGCTTTGTTTATGTCTGACTTGAAAGTGTTTGTTTGTAGCTTTCATTGGTATGTACAGTAGTAGATCACATTTTTCATGTGACTGTCGTATGATTTATGTCTTGCTTGTCATATGATAGTGGCGATGCATTGGAGTGTTAAAACTTAATGTTTAACCTCACAACATTTTGTTGCTGTCAGGCTGGTTCAGGCATGTAAATAAAACACAAAGCTCAGTTTTTTATTCCAGTCATTGTGTTTTCCAGACCGAAACAATATCCAGCACGCAGGAGTTCAGTATATTTTGGACTCGGTAATAGACCAGCTACAGAAGGATCCAGCCCGACGGTTCATCTACGTAGAGACGGCCTTCTTTTACCGCTGGTGGAGGCAACAGAGCCAGAACACACGGCGAATTGTAACACAGCTGGTCAATGAGGGTGAGGAGGGTATTTGTTTTTAAGTCTGAGATGATAAAAAGTATAAAAAAAAAAA